TGACACAAATGTATATAATATATATCCCTGTACAACCTCGTTTTTCGTAAACAAAATTAAATAAAAAAAATTCAAAACTGCGTGTTTTATCTTATTGACAACAGATTTGACCATCATAAAGTACATCAAACATGAAAGAATATACCCTATACTGAAAGGACTCAGGGCTTTATTACAGATTACAATCACTTATCCGGTAGTTTTTAATCACAAGAAGAACTTCAAGTTTAATGATAAAAACCATGAATACGTTATCGACCTCATTATGTTATCCAAATAAAAAAAATATCAAAGAAGGATAATTAATTAGCCTTGACCTCATCGATTCAATTCAATATTTCATCTAAGTGTCATCTTTCAATAGTATATAATACAATATTACATTCAGTGTAAAAGTATATAAATATGAAATAGAGAGCCATTCTGTACAGAATTATAAGAGACTATAACATTAGAACAATATAGAAAATTCGTCGATTATAAAACATATTTATAAGTACATTATTTACAGTATAAAACATTTCTACGTCTATTTAAAATAAGATAACAGGCTTTGGCACAGCTCCGAATCATATTAATATATGTGAATTAAAACACTAATTTCTATTAATCATCAAAAGACATAAAATCACTATTAAAATGTTTTGCTTCATCAAATAATTTTTTTCTAAAATCGTCATATAATGAACACGATAAAATAACATGGGCTTCATCTTCTAAAATATTTTTACTATTATCACCTCCCCGTTCCGATTCTTATTGGTGCCACTCCAGATCGAATTTTGGCAAAAGAACTCCTTTGAGTAAATGGTATTGTAATTGTACATTACGTTTAAGTTTCAAAACTGTTCTTGAATAAATTATATGTTCTAAGTTTGTTGTCACCTTTACCAGATAAAGCTTTCTCTGACTGTAAATTGCATTGCCACTGATCAACATATTTACTTAAAATTTTAGACATAATGATCTTAAGAACTGAGGTACTATCATTATATTCTGTAATGTTGCACAAATATTCTACATTGTGCTCAGAATTTTTTTCCCTTAATACATTAAAATTCCAATATTTTATACACTTGTGTTTTCTATTCATAATGTCTGCCCATATGAAAACCTTTATTTTTTACCGATTAGAACTCATATTGTTCAAACAGAACCATATTCGAATTAAACATTGCCATTGTTTTTGAAAGATTCCGAAAAAAACATGTTTTAAAAACCCCTGATCATTTGTTTTTGTGCAATTTTATGTACTTTCATCAAACAGCATGCTTCTAAAAAGTCATTTAGTCCCTTTATAGCTTGCTGTTCGGTGTGAGCCAATGCTCGGTGTTGAAGGCCGTACTTTGACCTATGATTGTTTTCTTTTTACACATTGTGACTTGGATGGATAGCTGTCTCATACACCTTATCGCTAATCCCGCTTGACCCGAGAATCAGTCCCGCTCGAACTTTTGACGTCATACAACAATCACTTTTCCATTGTGGCGTCAGATATTTTCTATTATGACGTCATAATTTTACGGGAACTTCTGTGATGTCCAGTAATGGCGGACAAATAGCGATAAGGTGTATTGGCACGCATACCATATCTTCTTATTTATAAGTATTCATTTTTAGAAAACATATACTAGTAGATTGTGTGAAGCTAGGTCTATAAGTTAAGTACATAAGTTATTTCTTTTATTTTATACATAAAAGGTAACGATGAATCATATGTTTAAGTTTCTTTTTAAATTGTACACAAAGGGAAGATTAGATCATATGCTTAATTTATACGAGAACCAAAAGGAATGACATCAGCATTTTGTTTAACTGTTTGTTAGTGTGGCTTTAAAAGGAAAACTTAAGAAAACCTTAACAACATGTCATCGGATAAATTTAAACTTACAGTAAATAATTAGGTTTACAAAATTACCTACATACGAAAGATTTACTCTCTTACAAGTGTTTACTAGACAGTAAAGAATTATTGAAGATACTTCACTGTCTGCATATGCAAAATGAAAAATAATACTTTCTAAATATTCATGCGTCCCAAGCGCTTTTCTGAAATTTCCTTCTTCAGGAACGTTAAAAACCAAATATTTGAGAGCCAAGGATGTTTAAGAACTGAACAGTTGAAGAGCTATATGACCACAAAAAAACCTATATGAAATACCGTTTAATTATAGACAACAGGATATTTTTGGTACAGCTAAATTGAAGTAATTAATGTTGCAGCATTTTAATATGATTATAAAGATATGTAGGGTATAGGTCAAAGGAACAGGACAAACACACAAAAAAAAAACCAACAACAAGAAGAAATATCGAGAGGTCAACATATTGACTTAAAGAAAAGACTAATGTATTTAACGTGAATATGGAAATAAAACAATCATTTACGAGGTTCTTTAACCGTGACAGGCACATGAAAAGTGTGTATGTTTAAGTAATGTTAGCTATCATCCCCTTCAATCTCAATAATTGGAATAATCAGTTCTGAAAAAAATAGCTAACCTTACCTCTATGATACCATTGTAATACACAACAAACAATATAACCGTGTTAAAAATGTTTACAATAACTGAAAGCTAACTCAAAGTATTTAACCTACACTCGAAGGAGCCGGGCAGTTTTATGAGTTGGAGTCTTAGAAATGTAATGCTTGGATTTTGTTTTCTCCACCCAAATGGTTGACTGCGGTGTTGGGGTATAGAAATACAGTCGTCCCTTTGACTTCTTCCGTTTTGACTGTAAATCCCTTGTTACGGTGGGGCGTCCGTTTGAACTGTGTGGGATATATAAATACGAAGCCACGTTTAATCAGAATGGGGACGTTTAATCCAATGCCTCATGTAGAGAAAGACAGGTGCCCTCTAAAAATTAAGAACCATTGTAAATGCACTCTGAGGCGTCCGTAGGTGGCCTTTTGCAAACCAAAAAGTTTCTGTCTATATTCACCATAACCTCATTTTCCAGTGAAAGTCCAAACTTTCCGCCTTTCACCCCCGGTCGACCTTCCTACCTAGCAGGCCATATCTATTGTGAACTGTCAATTTGTTCTCGACCTGAAAATGCATGAAATATTTGTCACTGAACATAAAGTAAACAAAAATAAATCATATCAATAAGCCTGTTTAAGTATCGTTTAAATGTAAAAATGTAGAATCCCATCCTGATATGATTAGAGAGTGTATAGAATAACAAATATGTTAAAAGTATAGTGACTAAAAGCACTGTCTAGAAAAATCCTCACTGGCTGTGCGTTTGTCGGTCCCATCAGAAGCCTCGTTGGTGGTTGTCTTTGGTAATATCTTAATTAAATGTTTTTGTTCTACAAGACATTTGTTTTCAATGGCAATTATTTGGTAGGTAGTGTAAAATCTTTTCACTATTTGTGCGGGCAATTTGAAGCTTGACATATTGTATACACAATTTTCTGTTGTTGAAGACTTTAAATATTTTTTTGTTTTTGTTTTTTTTTTTTGTGTTTTCGTTTCTTTTGGTTGCTGCCTGATTGGCAAAAAACCTACATCTCGTTATTTCATTTTTTTGTCTGTTTGTCCCAGAACTTGTAAGTTTTAAATGGTTCAGGTATACTTCTTCCATCGTTCTTTCCTGTGACAATATACCTCAAGGGTCGGTGAGGTATTGAAAAATGGTCACTTGGACTTTTTACATCTGACAGTTAAACCAATGCTGAAGAGGGGCGTCCGTTTAGTTTGCGGGATATATAAATACGCACTCACGTCCAGTCGAAATGGGGACGTTAAATCCAATGCTTTGTGTAGGGAGAGTGAAAAACTTTCTAAATATCAAAGAAATCTTGAAACAACTCTTTGATGGGTCCGTAAGTGGCCTGTTGCTACAACGTAGGGAATAGTGTCGGGTTTCTATAAAAAAATAAAGAAAGAGGTTGTACAAAATTTAAGTATACTCATGATTTGTTACAAAATGAAGGCTTATGAGTGGGGAATAATGCCGCACGATACTCATATTTTGAAATATGTGCGTGTAAACTTTAATTTCTTTTTCAACAAAACTCCAATAGCAATTTAATATAATTCATGGTAAAAGTGATAAAGTTAAGGCTTAAAAGGAGTTACTGATTAGTAAAACTTGTTATAATGATCAAACTGCGTACGTCACTTTGTACTAGACCACTGAAACGAAGTTAGATGACGCAAGTAAAAAAATAGATAGCTGACGTTCGAATTGTTAAAATGTGACAACTTTGTGCTTAGATTGCAATTACATGTATTGGAACAAGTTGTAAATATCAGCGTCGCTGCAAAGTGTGGTATGTCCTTGAAAGAAAATTACCACAGCTGCAGGCAAATTAAATATTCAAGTGCGATTAAATAAGTTATTGTGAAAAATTTTATACTTTAATTTTGTTTCCACTTGATGGATTTTAAGTCTACTAATTTCTTCTCCCAAACAATTTTTTCAAGGCACATGATCAATTGGTTATGCATGTTTACTTTCAGCTACATAGACATCCACATACTTTGACATGACAGTCGAAAGATAGGGCTGCAGGTATGTGCTGATAATGGTAGTTTTAAATAGTAAAGGCATTTTAGTTAATCTTAATATTGTAACATCTTTAAATACTGATTACGAATGACAATTTCGAAAAAAATTATAACTCGAGTAATATATACTGTTTGCTCTGTTTCGTTTATATCACGTTTCGTTATCATGTACTAGTATGTGAACACTTGTCGAGCTTTTTAATCGTGTACTACGATCTTTCTCAAATAACGTCTGTTAAGAGTTCTTTCTTGTCATATTACAAACTTTATATATTTGAAACTACTAATTGTGTAAAGGTTTACTTTGAGATGGCGTGTAAGAAGTTACCACCACACATCAAAGTAGTGTTCAAATGAAAAACTATACAAGCTACCCTTGTATCATACTTTGATTATACGGCTGCGCGTCAAATTATGTCACCAGACCAAATAGGATTAAGATATTTTGATTAAATAATAAAGAGAATCATTATATGCAATATTTGAATATAATTAAAATTGACCTTTTTACCAAGGTAAATGACATATTATGTTCGTTGTATAAAAGCACCCAGCTGTTTGTGTTTCCTGTTATGTTCATATATTGACAATACATACAGTCAGCAGCATTTACGATCATTGAACTTGGTTATTCTGTATTGTGGATATATATTAGGGGACATGCACATGCTTGAGTAGGTGTTTACTTACTGTCAGTAATGGGGTAAGTTTATTGATAACAGTTTGATGATAAGATTCATGCATAATATATTTACACTATTATATAGTAATATTCATGTCAGGAGCCTCTGGCCTTTGTTAGTCTTGTATCATTTTTAATTTTAGTTTCTTGTGTATAATTTGGAGTTTAGTATGACGTCCATTATCACTGAACTAGTATACATATTTGTTTAGGGGCCAGCTGAAGGACGCCTCCGGGTGCGGGAGTTTCTCGCTGCATTGAAGACCCATTGGTGGCCTTCGGCTGTTGTCTTCTCTGTGGTCGGGTTGTTGTCTCTTTGACACATTCCCCATTTCCATTCTCAATTTTATATATTGTATTTGTATGTACAGTTTTATTTTGCTCGAATCGCTAATTACTAAAATCGGTAATTTATAGTTTTAATATAGAAACCTTTCAGACAAAATTTGTATCTAATTATCTCAGCTAAAATAGTAGATAACTGAATTATCCATAAAACCAGTAGAAACTATTACATTTTTACTTTCTATAAGGAGCGTTCGTAAAAAGTTTGATTGAGGACAGTTTTACAGTACGATTAGAATTGGTTTACAGGGGTTCGCAAGTTTATAATAGCATAGATGTATGGGTTTATACATCTATGATAATAGGTAGTCTATCTATTTACAACTTAATAAGTTTTGCATATGTTTCTATCGTATGTTGAATAGGAGAAATGTCGTCTTACCAACCCTACAACTATTCTTCCAATGGTTGATCCAGAACGAGATTCCGAGAGAGTGAAAAACACGTAAAATCGATTAAAATTAGATAACCCTTATTTTAGGGGTGAATAAATTAATCTTACCCGCGTCTGTCTTTCTTAAGATTCCAATTGACCTCTACTTTCTGAAATATAAAAACTAAAAGCAACCTGAACATAGGTATGGCTTATAATATAACGAATGCCGTCCACGAGTCCGAACGGTATCCGGACAAAATCCATAAAAAATATCTTTACCGAACTTGGTTTGATAAAGCTTCACAAACATACTTTGATGCGATTAGATGAAAGGGTCATGGTTACAGCAGCTATTGATAGACTGGAATTTCAGCAAAATTTTAGTTTCCATATTTCAAACTTTACTGCAGTTGGTTTGCTAATGCCCAATGGAATGCAAAAGAACCCTTTTGATTTAGGAGTCACTAGGTCAAAGGGTAGGTAATATCACCAATTGATAATAAAATTGAGAATGGAAACGGGGAATGTGTCAAAGAGACAACAACCCGACCAAAGAGCAGAAAACAGCCCAAGGCCACCAATGGGTCTTCAACACAGCGAGAAAATTCCGCACCCGGAGGCGGGCTTCAGCTGGCCCCTAAGACTGTTATTGAGGCAAACGTTTATATCCTTTGAACTATATATGAATATTGACAAAACTTAGCTTGGTACTACCTCTTGGAAAGAAGAATAACCTATTAATTTTTGATTCTGTGTCCGAAGGTCAAAGTCACAGTTCCTATTAAGAGACTGAAAATTTTGGAAAAAATTTCTTTTCCAGGCACAATTTCATTTGAGCCACAAATAAGATCTTTACCAATCTTAGGTTTAAAGAAAAACCTATTGATTTTTTATGTCAAAAGGTCGAAGGTCCATGTCAGCATTTTGGTCTTTTAAACTAATGTCCAACATTGTCAAACTTGGTTTGAAATGCGCCTTAAGTGAACAATCAAGGTCACAGCTCATGTAAAAGACTGAACTGCAAGTTTCGTGAATCGTGATCTTTACCCATCTATGATGAATATCGTGTATTGGGTCGAATAAGACCACTATTGATTTTCAGGTAATTTATTCGAAGTTCAAGGTTACAGTAGAAATTAATAAATTGAAATATGAGTATAATGTTTTGCTTTCCATCATCTGATATTAATTGTCAGCAGACTTAAAAGTCTTCATCACCAATACACAAACTGTTTCTTTTACTGCCTAACCATTAAGAATCGGCTTTTGAGCTTCTGAAATTTTACTTCAAACGTGATTTTCATAGTATATAGGCACTGTGTGTGTTTCTTTTTAAACACGAGTGAATTAAATAAATCTGTCCGTGGTAAAATTGAAATACCAAATCAGTCATAGAAAACAGCCAACCCTGTCTTGCTGTACATTATATATGCAGTTGATAGTATAATTGGATTTAGTCATGAGATACTTTTAGAGTATAGATAATATCTAAATAATGTTAACAAGTGCAGCGTGTTCTACAATGAATTATGTAATGTTCCGGACACTAGTATATATTTAATAATTAAAAAAACCTTATATGGACAGCTGTACTTTGCATATTGTCACCTTTACTGGTACTGATTTTGGACAAATTTTTTAAGTTCATGGTGGGAAAATTAGTGCTTTAAATATATATAAGAAGATCGTAAATACATAGCTACAACTGAAAAGTAAATTATAATTTATGAGTGCATTGTGTGTTTGATATATCAGGATGATTTTAATGTATCTGTGATACTGAAAAATTTACAAGCTATTTGTAATCACAAGTAAAACAGATAAATTATATAATCCAATTGCCCCAAAGGCTTTTAAATATAAACTGGACCGTTATTTATAACAGGGTGTTTTTATCAAGTGTCGAAATAATCATAATGCACAATGATAAATTGGCTGATAAGATTATCAATTATTACAAAATAAGCATAGCCATATAAACTAATGTAATTTTTTAAACGATGTCTGTCTTTTTCTTTAACTTTCATTAGAGATTTGCACTAACATACGGCCAGGTATGTGAAGTAGATTTCCTGATCAAAATCGTCGACAAATCAATATATACGTAGTTTGGGCATACCATTATGGAAGAGAAAGAGAAGAAATATCACGAGGATCTAGAAGATGAAGATCTAATCCCGACACCCCCAGACGGGGGATGGGGCTGGATGGTAACCTTTGCATCACTTGTTTGTAACTTTATTGTCGATGGAATTGGTTACGCCTTTGGTGTTCTGCTGCCAATTTTTGCCGAACATTTTGAGGAATCGAAAGGAAAAGTTTCTTTGGTTGGTTCTCTATTGTTTGGTGTATATTTATGTTCAGGTAAATATTATTGTACACACTGACACACGCGTTAATAAAAAGAAAAATGTGAAAATCAGAAGAAATTGTTAGATTAATTACTCGTATTTGATTTTTATTTTTCGAATCACGATTTTATTTGATTATTTTAGATTTAGCATTTTTATAAACGCATATGCAAAATGACAGTGCAGTCTGATTTCACATCTTTGACCTGTGCAGGTGGATCTCTATTTTTTCTTTGATAAAATGTTACTACTAGGACACATACTTTTGCAAGGAGTCACGTACTTATCTGCATAGTTCAGAGACCTTTAAAATGCGAACTAAGTACGAACGTCTTCAGAAATAAACCAGGAAATATTAAAAATATAAAAATAGATAGTCCTGAGCATGGAAGTACTACATTGACATACATAGTACTACATTGACATACGTAGTACTACATTGACATACATAGTACTTCCATGTCCTCAGAAACTATAAACTTTTTAAATCAATATGGTAGCTCGATGAAATATCAAATGTTTTATATAGAAAAGTATGGAAATCTTTAAATGCAAATGCTACATGATCAGTACTTTATTCTTAATCAATAATTTCTCTTGCTCAATAGTTTAATAAAACGAAATTTTATACACATCGAAAATAATGTTCATTTTTTGTAGGTCCCATAGCCAGTGGTCTAGTGAACAAATTTGGTTGTCGTCCGGTCACAATTGCAGGAAGTATAATAGCTTCGGTTGGATTTTTATTGGGATCCTTCGCTCCTAATCTCAACATACTTATATTAACATATGGGGTTCTCGGAGGTAAAACTTCTATGTCTAAATTTTTTAACACTATAACAAACACCGTTCAAACAAGACATGCACACTTCGTCAAAAGATAAGCAACAACTTCATTTGAACTATTCTTATTGATTTATTTTTTAATGCGAGTCAATAAATGTGCTGAACATAAAAAAATAACGACAAAGGGATTTACATCAGCAATTTGAAAATATGATTATAAAGAAAAATAACTAAGCCACAGGACAATTCCATTCTTCATTTTCAGTCAATAATAGATATAACAAGATGTGGTATGAGTGCCAATGAGACAACTCTCCATCCAAGTCACAATTTGTAAAAGTAAACCATTATAGGTCAAAGTACGGCCGTCAACACGGAGCCTTGGCTATGATGTTCCTATTGTTATAGACAACCGACAGTTGGACGAAACTTTTGGAGCATAAACTGCTGACCTTCCGGAGGACCTGAAACCCCTTTCCTTTTTACGTTTTGTTTAGCATGGTTCGCGTAAATCAGCCTTTAATTTTCAGTTGAGTATTTTGTTTGACTGTTGTTAGTGTTTTCGGCCTTGTTCGTTTGGCCATGGTGTTGTCTCTTTTTTCTTTGTTGTTGTATTACGCCCTTGGTATTGTCTTACTTTATAAGCTGATACTGGGCATTTTGAAATTTCCTCCATATCTAAAAAAAGACATAGACAAAAAAATCAACCTGATATTTTTTCCCAAATACGATAATAAGAAAATATAAAAGTGTTATTTAACATTTGACGAGATAAATACTTTTGCAAGAAAAAAATTCAGATATTATAACTACATATTTAATAAAAATAATGTGATATATGAACCTGTTCATTTATCGTTGCAGAATTTAAACTGTAGTTAAAACTCATTTAAAAACCAAGTCGAAAGTAGAGTCGTTGTAGAAAAAAAAAATATATATATATATATATATAAATAAGAAGATGTGGTATGATTGCCAATGAGACAACTCTCCACCAGAGAACTAATGACATAGAAGTAAACAACTATAGGTCACCGTACGGCCTTCAATAATGAGCAAATCCTATACCACATAGCCAGCTATACAAGGCCCCGAAAATGACAAATGTAAAACCATTCAAACGAAAAAACTAAACAATGAACGAAAAACAAATATGATATACAGCAATAAACGACAACCACTGAATGCAGAATATGGCGGGGTTAAACTAGTTTGCTGGCGCCAAACCCTCTCCTTTACCTGGGACAGTGTTGTAACAGTGCAACATAATAACAAACTATAGCATTTATTTGTTAAATATGATAATTATAAGAAATGATTATCATTGATTTAACTATACGACAGACTTAAATGTTGCTTACAGTGTGTCGATAGTCGCACTCGTTTCAAAATGGTTACCGGTTTTCATACGATATGAAAGTTTATAACAGCACCACGAGGCAAATGTTTTAGCCAAAAAACAAATCAGGTTGTATAAAATGAAGACTTATTGTAAACAAACGAAGATATTTGAAAAATATTAATTCTGTGCACGTATTATTTATGTTTTACAGGTCTTGGTTTTGGTTTGATATACTTACCATCGATAGTAACAGTCGGTTTTTATTTCGAGAAAAGACGAGCACTTGCCACAGGAATTGCAATGTGTGGTTCTGGAATAGGGACATTTGTATTCTCGCCGTTAAATGATTATTTGTTGGGACTGTATGGTTGGAGAAATTTACTTTTTATCCAATCTGGAATAATTTTAAACGGTGTTGTATGTGGAATGTTAATGCGACCACTGAAAGTGAAACCCAGAAAGCGAAGTAAGGACGATACACTTAATAATCATGCGAAAAAAATGTCTGAAGAAAGTCGTCAAAGGACAGAGTCTGATCCAGATGTTTATGAAAGAAACATATCGACAGATTTGCTAAGCAAAGACCCGTCTATAAGGGAAATTACCAATGGGAGAGGGTCTTTACCGGAAGTTCATTATGTTAGCACTAAAAGTAACGAAATAAATTCAAATATGAAAGAAACATTCCAGCCTTTGATTATAAAAGAAATCATTCCTAGGACAAACCGAAGTAGAGCTGATTCGCAACCTTCAGTGATGCAACACAGAGTTGACTTTGCAAGACCAATGTACAAGAAAGATATATTCTATAGTGGAAGCATAGATAGAATACCACAGTTTAGATCTCAGCCTAATGTCCATAGTTATGTAGCCAGTATAACGTCTATTCCAGGAATAGATGAACCAGAGAGATCCTCAGTTTGGGACAAATGTACATGCTTGCCTAAAACTGTGACAGACATTCTTAAGGAAATGTTGGACTTTTCATTGATGTTGAAAATTTCGTTTTTCATGTTGTTTATAGGTAACGTTTTTGCGTGTACTGGGTATTTTATTCCATTCAGCTATATAGTGGACAGGGCTGTACAGATGGGTATTTCCAGTTCTAATGCTGCTTTCCTACTCTCAATAATGGGTAATCACTCTTTTTTTAATTATGTTACTTGAAAAACATGTTGGTATGTGTTGAAGACCAGGTGCGCTAAAACTGCTTTTGTTTATAAAGATTAAAATGAAAAAAAAATTGTTTTTAAATTCACAGAATACATTATGTATAATTGCATATAAAAAAGCCAATATGTACAAAAATCTGTTTACATATGTTTATCAAAAATTTGGTATATAAACTAGAGGCAACAATAATCAAACCACTAAGATGATTCAAATCAAGGCAAAAAAAAACCAAAAACTTTGGGATTCGCATGACCAACAAAAGGAGCGTGGCCTTGTATGTCGATATGGTAAGCGTCTCCTGCTATGCGTGTATCATCCGTCATGCGAATTCACACTCATGCAAATGTTTTTAAAGTATTTTTTTGTTTGCTTCATTAGATGTTTTTCCCCTTAAAATGGTTGCGCTAATAATTAATAGAAATGCACAAAGAGCTTGATAATTCACTTTCCATTTTCCAATATATTTTTCATGCAGGAATCACCAACACCATAGGTCGGGTCCTTTGTGGATTTCTCGCTGATCTCAGTTTTGTCAATCCTTTAATTCTGAACAATGCAATGCTAGTATTAAGTGCAGCAGTTTTGTTCCTTGAGCCACTTTGTACAACCTATGCAATGCTGGTAGGATTTTCAGTGATATATGGTTTATGTATAGGTAAGTAAAACTTTCTTTATTTCTTTATTTTTGAATACATATTAGCGTGTGTTATTTTATCATGCGTTAATCGAACACAGTTTGGATCAGATATAACATCTCTTAAAATCTGTTCAGAACTTTCAGGAGAAAAGTCTCCTGGTGTCTTTAGAGCAGTTTCTTGCAGAACTGATCTCAACTGCATTTATAAATCACATATAGTCTGAAGGAATCTACTTTTCGAAGGAGCATTTCAACATATGCAATAATTAATGTAATACAACACAACAATGTTTTGTTGTTTACATTATTTTGGATTTGTAAATGTCGAACATACCGAGCCAATAATAATGATAATAACAATTGTTAATTTTTACATTGTTTTAGATTGAAAAATGTCGGACATACCGAGCAAAATTAATAACAATAATAATGTGTTGTTGACTTGTTTTAAAACTGTAAATGTCAAATCACAACTACAATTAGAGCTTATAGTCAATCTAAGGAATGTTAATGGTTTTCATTGAAATTGTTTCACAAATTATAAAAAATGGGTCGATGAGAGGTATCTAATGGTAACCACTTGATATACATTTTGGTAAGGTGTCGTTATTCAATGTTTCCAATTGGATGCTTACCAGTTTTAAAAGGGAAAAAGATATACAGATACTTAACCATATATATATATATTTAAAATAACACCTTGATAGGCAGCTGCTCTTTGTATTTATCTTCATATCTTCTTTTTACATACTTCAACAGTTGACTGAGGTATAAATTTATGGCCACCTTGACTTCTCCGTCCGCCATAAGACAAGTGCTGAGTGGACATGTCTGTTTGGTTGTCAGGGATGTACTAGGTTGGTTCCCTCCGTAAAATATTCAGTATGCCTTCGGAATATACAAATTTTGTGAAGAATTTCAATAACGGCCGGGTACCTGTCTAGGGATGTACACAGTCGCGAACTGTTGTTAAATAGACATTAAATCCGATGCCTGTATGGTGTTTCGAGAGTATGATTAAGTCCTCTGTGCGTTTAAGAACGCTTAAAAAAACTATGTGGAAAATCCTTAGGTCGCCTGTTGCAAGGCTAAATAGAAAGGCTAAATAAAAAGGCTAACATTTGTAATGCCTGAGTTATTCCTCCCTATAGAAATAGATAGAGCATTAAAGCAATATCATTAAGTTGTATAATAACAATACATGTATTAACTTAATATCTGGGTACGAACTTGAATTGTTTAAAGATATATTGACGTATAATGGTATGACGTTGTCGTCTTCTCCTTTGTCGTCGTCGTCGTCCGAAGACATTTTGGTTTAGTAGCTTTAGTAAATAAATAAATAAATAAATAAATAAATAATCTTTATTTCAAGAGGATAATCCCATTAGTTAAAACTAATCTTCCTGAGAGTCCTCAAAATAATAATAACATATTTATAAGTACATACAATATTATAATGATATATTATACACAATATACAATTGTATCTAGATAATAATGAAAAAGCATATTAATTTGCACAATTGATGAAAAATTTGTAATATTTTGCTTTAAAAGATACAAGTGTATTACTCATTTTTATTTCATTTGGTAAACTGTTCCATATTTGAGAACCTGAATATGTAAATGTTTTCTTTAAAAAGTTTGTTTTTGGTTTCGGAAGATTTAATAGTTTTTCATCAGCCGAACGTAAACTATAATTCTGATTACCAATAAAATGAAAGTTTTCTTGTAAATAGTTAGGAACCATATCATTTAATGATTTAAATACAAGTATTGTCTTTTGATATTGAATGCGTTTTTCCACATTTTACCAGTTTAAACTATTAAACCACAAACTGGATGATGTCATTATGTCAGCTTCTATTATAACCCTAGCAGATTTCTATAATAACTTATTTAGTGTATTTATTCCACTTTCATAGCAACTTCACCATATATTGCAACAATAATCAAACAATGGCAGAATATAAGCATTAAAATAAATAATACGTATATGCATAGGGAAATATTTTCTTATCTTTTGTAATAAATTGATTCTATTATGTATTGTACATGACATTTTATCTATTTGCTCATTCCAATTTAGGTTTTTGTCGATATATAAACCGAGAAGTTTTTCACAATCTACATTCTCTATTTGTTCATCTGAAATTTTGATATCTAAACTGTTCCCAGTTGAATAAAGCCTCTGTTTTGAACCAATAATCATTGATTTACACTTTTTGGCATTTAGTTTCATACAATTTTGCGAACACCAGTTTTCAATTACATGAATATCATTTTGAAGGTTAGCAGTTAACTGAAGTACATTATTACCTTTACTATGTAATGTAGAATCATCTGCATATAAATCTATTAATGAATTTTCTATGTTCAGTGGTAAATCATTGATATATAAAATAAATAACAGAGGGCCAAGGATAGAGCCTTATGGTACACCAGTTTTTATGCATTTAGTATTAGACATGACGTTATTGACCTTAACTTGTTGACTTCGTTCAAACATGTATGACTTTAACCAGTCTAGTGTACAGTTTGAAACATTATAATATTCAAGCTTTTTTAATAAAATAATATGATTAACCAGATCAAAAGCTTTCTTTAAATCTAAAAATATAACTCCGTTTATTTCTCCATTATCTATATTTGCTAACCATTCATCTACTAATTTAGTAAGTGCAGTTGTGCACGAATGTTTAGGTCTGAAACCTGACTGTGTAGTATTAAGATGGTCATTACTATTTAAATATATATACAAACTATCAGCTATATGTCGGTCTATGATTTTGGAGAGACAAGGCAATACTGCTATTGGTCTATAATTATCAGGATTACAAGCATCGCCACTTTTAATAATTGGGCAAACTCTTGCAGTTTTAAAAATACTTGGAAATTTACCACATTTGATGCTTAGATTAAATAAATATGTTAACGCTGGTGCAATGACATCGCTGCACATACTCAAAATATTTGGTCCAACGTCATCTAAACCAGTTGCTTTAGACTTGTCAAGTTTTTTTTTTTAGTATAAGTGTATGGATCTCTATGAAATTGTACCACAAGGTTCCATACCAAAAAAGGAAGGTTGAATTGGATTTTGGGGTTATTGTCCTGACTGTTTAGGAATTAGGGGCCAAAACAAGCATTTTTCTTGTTTCAGGACAATAACTTGTGTATAAGGTTATGGATCTGTATGAAATTCTACCACAAGGTTCCATACCTCAAACAGAAGGTTGGGAATGATTTTGGGGTATATAACGGCCCTAACCCTTTAGGAATCAGGAGCCAAAAAAAACAAGGATTTTCTGGTTTGCGAACACTAACTTGAGTTAAAGTCTATTGATCTCTATGAAATTGTAAAAAAAGTTATATACCAAAAAACAAAGTTTGGAATTGATTATGGGGGTTATTGTCCTAACCGTTTAGGAAAAAGGGGTCAAAAATTAATTTCAATGGAGTTCAATTCCAAGTCTTGAATTCTTGGGATTCTTTAAAATGCCGATTCTGACCGTGTATTTAGATTTTGGATTTTGATCCCAGATTTCAAATAGGTCCACATTAAGGTCCAAAATTAAACTTTGTTTGATTCAACAAAAAATGAATTATTGAAGTTCTTTGATATGCCGAATTTAACCGTGTATTTAGATTTTTAACTTTGGACCCAGTTTTCAAATTGGTCCACATTAAAGTCCAAAGGGTCCAAAATTAAGCATAGTTTGATTTTAACAAAAATTAAATTCTTCGGGTTCTTTGATATGCTGAATCTAACCGTGTAAATAGATTTTTGATTTGTGTACCAGTTTTCAGATTGGTCCACAGGGTCCAATATTAAAGTTTGTTTGATTTCACCAAAAAAAGAATTCTTGGGGTTCTTTGATATGCTGAATCTTACCATGCATTTAGATTTTGGATACTGGACCATAATTTAACCCAGTGGCGGATTCAGAAGTTTTCATAAAGGGGGGGGGGGGGGGGGGGGGGGCACTGACTGCCAATTAGAGGGGGCCCGTTCAGTCATGCTTCAGTGATTCCCTAATTAACAACCAAATTTTTCTCACAAAAGGGGGGCCCAGGCACCCTGCCCTCCCCCCTAAATCCGGGTCTGTAACCTTTTGTCTCCTTTGAAAGTTTATAATTGTACTATAACTTATGGTACAACTCCCTTTCTGCATTGTCGACTGTTTTTTTTAACAATTTTCCTGCCTTTGGGATGTCGCTTCATTTTTAATAATAAAATATATCTTGCCGTTTGGATGTCGCTTCGTTTAATTATAAAAAATCTCGACCGAAAAGTTTATCTTTTTATTTTCAGCTGCATATATATCACTGACTTCACCTATAATATGCGATCTCCTTGGAATTGGTAAACTGTCGAATGCTTTTGGTTTACTCATATTGGCCCGTGGTGTGTCGGGCATATACGGTCCTCCTTTAGCAGGTGAGTTGAAAAAGCAACATAAAGTTCGTTAGTCGGCGACTAATTTTTTATTTATCTCCAAAAAAAACTTTATTTATTTTTTTTTTCGTTTGTTTGATTTGTCTATGTTTTTTGGTCGAAAACAAAATTTTTTTTTCAATTTTTCAATTTCAAAACATCAATGTATAGTTCGAATATATATATACAATACAATAACATGAAATCAGACTATGAAAATGTCTGAAATTATTTAAAACTTTTCGTAATATTGTCATTTTTTAACAAGCCAATAGCATATGAACTTTCCACCTTTTTAATTTACATTGAAGTTCGATATTTTTGTTATACTTTTTTATAGCCCATACTTCTAAAATACACTAATATTCTTGATTTGCAGGTGCAGTTTTCCAAGCAACCAATAACTATGACGCTTCATTTTACCTTGGTGGAGGAATGTATTTATTGAGTGCTGTCTGTCACATGGTACTACATTTTCCATGCATTAAAAAGGAGGAACAAAGAAAAGAATTAGACATAAGATAAACACATAACTAATATTCCGGATTTACACAAAGGAGTATTTGGATCTCTAGTCTATCATCGTAAATCACATTTGTTAGGACATGCGACGTTTAAGTTATACTTCTTTGGTTTTAGCAATTGAAAAACGGACCATATGTATTTTTGATTTTTTTACTTTTTTTACTGACGTATAATAAATTATGCATAATTACTATTATAGATAAACATATTTGGTTTTTTGTTTGAATTGTTCCGAATTTTGTCATGTCGGGCCCTTTCATAGCTAACTTTTCGGTTTGGGTTTTGCTAAATGTTGAAGGCTGTAAGGTGACCTATAGTTGCCGTTAAAACCACGTCATTTGGGTGTTAGATAGTCTCGTTGGCAATCATTCAACATCTCCTTATTTGATATTATGTAATTCTTATTGAATGTTATAATTCTATGGATTAATATGGTGGCATTATATAGATGTCATTTTAATAAACTTATGTCAAGCTATAAACGTACGAACCTTGACGTATTAAAAAATTCCCATGAACTCCAAACGGTGCGTAGACATACGATTCGAAAATTGTATGCAGCTGTAGGTGTAAAGTAAGAAAATAGAAAACCTGTAACAATGATACCTCTAAAATAAGAGATGAAATCTGTGACGGGATAGCAGTATATAGTGAGTTATGACTCTTGTTCTCTTTCTCGCCATTTTACATAAAGGTGTGTCTGTGTAACTCATAAACAAACAATAACTAGAGTGAAAATACCAAGGGGCAATCACAAATCATCATGATCAAAATAAAAAAGATAAACAGACTACCAACGGTCCATATATGTGACCCGCCATGACATTTCCAGGCTTATGGAGGTAGAACGTCATTGTGACAAAAAAACGCCGTTTACTATATGTGACTAGCCTCGATATTTCCAGGCTTATGAGGGTACCTTGTCTAAAATTGGCTTTTTTTTATATTTATCTAGAACATACTGAAACAAATCACTCTGTCATGTTATTATGACCTATTTGTTGTAATTACAATGAAACGAGTCTTTTTGAATATCGACATAATGAGACTATTCGATGACAACTTTTTATTATCGAAGGCACTAATTTATAAAATACAAAATGATTGTAGTTTATTGGCGCTCAGTTATCTCCAACAGCGTGAATACTGACACATTTCAAAAGAATTAAATTTACTACAATACAAACAGTTCTTAGCTCTCTTTAAGAAAATGTAATTTAAACTTGTTGTAATGATGTTAGTATAAAATTTGTCAAAGAAAGCGTTTAGAATTATTTTTTTAATTTGTCTTTTAACTTAGATTTATGATACATGTACATGTCTCTACACCAAATAGCATGCGCAGCGTAACAGTTTATAAGTAGTTGTTCCTATATATGCATTTGATACGGTGCATTTATTATGGATATATCTTAGACTCCATTTATGAAAATCTATAGAGCAGAGAATTTAGATTTTTTTTATCAGTTTTATATGTAGATTCAAATATTTTTCACTTAAAACGATAACGTAAAACTTCTTCAGAACTTATATAGGATGTATAGTTTAGTGCCAGCAAAAAAATAATCCAAGGTAAAGTGTTAATCTCTTCTTCACAAATACTTATTCAATTGAATGTCGAGAAAATTGAAGGACCCATCTGAAAACAATTATAAATTTGTAAATGATTGATTTACTTTCAATTTTTAGATTAGTTTTACCCGGCTATAACTTATGAAGTCAGAGGCGGATTTTTATATCTATTTCTTTTAAATTTGGGGGGTGCTGGGCCGCAGCTACATATATGGTAAATGCACAAACTTTTTTCAAATGCCACTTCTAACGTTGTCATGGTACCCACCCTTTTCAGAATCTTTGAACTGCAACTAAAGTTAATTGCTAACATAATTTAAATCTACGATGCGAACCTAATTTACGTCATCTTTGAACTTTTATGATTAATACTGTGTCTGGTCTTTTCTGTTTACTTATCTTTGGAGTAACTGTACATCGCATATATTCACATCAATCGTTTTATACCAATCGACTGTCCCTAGTATAGATAAATGCATTTTATTTCTTTAAATCCATTAAAGAAACTTGTATTCGTATGGAACCAACAACATTGTACAGTTCGTGTCAAATTTATGTAGACAAAAGCGTTGAAAATAATATATGATGGAAGGGGGGTATTTAGTGGTTTTAATTTATAAGAAGATGTGGTATGATTGCCAATGAAAAAATCTCCACCAGAGACCAAATGACGTAGAAGTTAGCAACTATAGGTCACTTTACGGCCTTCAACATTTTGCAAAACCCATACCGCATAGTAAACTAAAAAAGGGCCTAAATATGTTTTGCTCGCTTGCTTTAACTAAAAGCTTTAAATTATATAAATTTCATATGCAATGGTAAAAAGCATTCAAAACATAAATTCAGTAAAGAAATAAATGTGCATGTCCCCATACGAAATTTTACATAACGTTTATATATAACATCTAACGACGTTTTTCTTACAATGACGTTCTACCTCCATAAGCCTGGAAATGTCATGGCGGGTCACATATGAAAAAGTTTAAGATTGTATTAAACGTCGAATTTCTTTCTTTAAAACATGTCCATATATACCGACTGGTTTTTGACTCGATTTTCATAGTTACAGTTTTCGATTGACTATTATAGTCCTTGTTAATGTTCGGAAATGGCATTACAATTAGGTCATGGTCAAAGATCAAGGTCACACTCTAAGTATGAGCCTTTTCGTGTTCGAATCTCCACAGAAATTGTACAAGATAACTAAAAGGTACTGTTGCAAAATGTTCGAACAACTGAGATACAGTTTTGGGGAATTTGTTACGAAGCGGTTTTATAAATTCTTACAGGGGTTACTTGCCTAGTAATTGTTTAAATTAAAGATTCAATCTTTTGTATTTGGATGGGATGCATGTGACCTCTTAAAAAGGTGAGTTGGAAGGAGATATCACTTTGTATTGAAACGTTTTTATTAGTAAAAATAGTATATGTTAATTAGTTTATCATACTACACTAACTAATCCGAACTGACCGTACAGTCTGTTACTATCACATAGTATGTATTTATTATTCATAATGGCCGATAAACTTTTTAACATTTACGCCTTATCATAAGAGAAATATGCCAGTTTTAAGGTGTTTTGCTGCAAGTACACATTGTTTATACAGACTATGTATGTATATTTTTATTTTCTTGGGGCTCTCTATAAAGTAATTTTAATAAGACGGATTTTTAACTGAATATTTTGAATTTTCTTCGTATTATAAATTAATGACCATAATATTACTACTTTTTATGATTCAATACACTACAATTCTAGACACATCGGTTAAAATTATGTAGCAAAAATTAAAAAAAAATCGTATTTGAAACATGAACGAACATGTCTTGGTTAATCCAGACAGACAACAGGACAAGAGTAAGATGAGTTTATGGTGTCATGTTTCCAAATAGGTATCAATATATGATGTTTTAATACTTAGCGGCATGTATGCAGTGTTTCGCACACATATATGCTAGTTTCCCAAATATAACCCATCCAAAACACAATTTCATTTTCTAAAATTGAAGAAACGGTTTTAAGAAGTATCACAATAGAATACAACAGAACAATTCCTTGAGTATCAGCATAAATAGACGCCTACAAAGAATCATCCAACGGAATATAAACTTTACTTTTGACCCAAAAAATAGCATTAATGAAAATTAAACAATTACTTGATTTTTTCTGACCTATTCTGAAATACTCCTCTTCATACTTTTTTCTTTTGAAAAAGAAGATGTTGTATGGCTATACGTTTCTGTGGCAGCGACTCAACGCCACAAAAACATCACGAGATAATCATTCTGCCATCAGGACAGTGCACCGTACTTGTTTGTTTAACCTTTGTCGTTGTTATTTTGATTTTTTTCGATCTGTTATACTTTACCTTTTTTTTTTAGACAAGACCAGTATTTTCTTATTCATGCAGTTTGTTTAGCATGAATAAACAATCCCGTCCTCTTCTCTTCGATTATGACATCACATAATTTGTACTTGCAATAAGCAAATCACATGTGGATCCGGATCTGCTAAACCTTCCGGAGCACCTAAGACCACCCCAGTTTTTGGATGGTTTCAAGTTGCTCAGTCTTAGGTTTTCTGTGTAGTATTTAGAGTCCGTTGTTTGTATTTTTTTCTTTGCCGTTTTTCGTTTTTGCCATGGTTTTGTTGGATACTCTTCGACTTATAAATGTTAATTGTCTCCTTGGTATCCATATGAAAGGTTTAATTTTCCTATTTTTCTTTAAAATATGATCATTTGAAAGCATGCAGGTTATGTAGACGTTGATAATGCTTCTTGCTATCTCTCATTCAACATGATACTTAATCTTTATATATTTTAAAATGAAAAAGTTTTAAAAAAGTTTCTGTTGTGCTACCGTTAAATGCCAATTGATACCTTTTCGTATATCTATGTATCTTCAACGAACCAAGCCAAATATCAAATTCAATCAGGAATGGGACACATTTGAAAGTGGAAATCGAGACAAATGAACACGAAATAAATCAATCTAATAAACTAATCAAGGGAGATAAATCAAAATTACTGATATTTTTTTTAAGTTGGCGGATTTGTACATTCCAATGATTTAAAAGTAGATTTTCCGAAAACATCAATTCTGTTTATAACATGGTCTATTTGTCAGAAGTAATACGTTACAAAAATGTTAAAATTCTACGTCAAACGATTATGAAATTAAACTGTGATTGAATAAAAGAGGATCGGTAGGCAGTTTCATTGCATTTATCTACGCGTTGTTTGGCCGCTGACTACAAATCATATATAATACAAAAGCATATAGAATGCATAGCATCCTACGTACTTTGTTCATATTAAAACTTCAACTATTTTTTTATATTATATAATCAAACATTTACGGGAAATTGCATACTTCAAACATAGTAAATTTTGATATACTAGTAAACAAATGTTACTTTACACAAGTTTGTACTCAAATTCATCATAAAATATAATAATAAATTTGAAAATTAATAAAATTAATAAAATTATCAAATGAAAACATTCATTTCCAAAGCACCTGCAAATGATTCCGAAAATCTGACTTAATCTCAAAGTGAGAAACTACCGTGTTATTGACCACAGGGGTCAAATTTATTTTGCGGAAAAAACTGATAAAAATCGGCGCGAAATTTCGTTGATTAACT